ACTGGGAGATTTGCCCTGGGGGCAAAAAAAAAAAAAAAAAACGTAAGTTGGTTTAATAGTTGGTCTTTGACCTTGAGTATTTCCCTAACAGTTTCTACAAGATGTAAATTCCTTTTTTTTTATATAAATACGTAAGCCCCCGTTTCAGCCAGATTAGAATTTTTATTATCATTCTTCTATTCATTTTTAAATATTCTTTTTTCAATAAAATAATATTTTTCATCACATCAATAACTTTTTCATCTTTTTTAATCACACATTATCCATCAATCTACTATTCTAAAATAATGTGGCTGATACTAGCCCTAACTTTGAAAATGTTGTTCCACAAAATAAGTAATTTCAAGATGCGTTTTGATCCCCACCCCATTCTAAAACAATTACAAAAGACTTATTTTCCTAATTTTGATTCAATCCACAAACGAATTACTTGAGAATCCCTATGATTTTCTTCTCAATTGAAGCATGCAAGTAATGGTAGCCATTCTGCGTGAAAAGTATATGCCTTTGACTGCAATTCATCAGACGCTTAATATTTCTTGGCCATTGCACAAAAATCTCTGCTCTAAACTCAACTTTTGCACCCAAATATCAAATCCCAGTTTGCAGTTTTCAGAATCTGAAAAGGGAGAAAGAGTAGAGGAAGAAGAAAAGAGCCTAAGCTGGAGGATTGAGAAACTACCAAGAGGAGAACCAGTTTCATCGGCGTTCCGGAGCTGGATGGGCAATGGCTTTCCCATTCATAAGGGCGACATTTTTCACACTATCAACCGTTTGCGCAAGCTCAAATCCAACAGGCGAGCCCTCGAGGTTTGAATACATTTGTGGTTTTCTTTTTCAGGAATCACAGTTCAGCTGCCAAGGTTTTTAATTGAATGCCTGTGGCGTTTGTAACTTGGTAATGCATGTTATGTGTTTGCTTAAAAACTTCAAAGAGTAATGAAAATCTGGAGTAGGTGAAAAGGATGAAATTTCTTTTTGTTAACATGTTACGTTAAGGATCTGATTGGTTTAAATTCCATTTTCACCTTAGTTTCTCGAAACAAGATCTTTCTTTTATCTTTCCAGTCTATCAGAAAATAAAGAAATAGCTATATATTCATGATAATTACGCCTTTAGAAAATACTATCTCAATTTATTATCTTTCATCATATCAATCCTAGTAAGATTTTTTTCCTGAACAAATATTTGATTTATTTCAGTTGTTCCACGACTAGAGGAACTTCTTTCGTTCATTTAGCAAGGGACGTAGTCTCCCACTCTATTATTTGCCAATTACATTATTTAGTCAGTTGCAAATGACCTGAATTTGAGCAATATAACGGAAAAAAATGATAACAGGAGCTCAGTTATTTATGAGTCATTGCAGGTGATGGAATGGGTGATAAGGGAGAAGCCCTACAGGCCAAAGGAACTAGATTACTCCTACTTAATTGAGTTCACAACTAAGCTTCATGGAGTCTCACAAGGTGAGAGCCTCTTCTCTCGTATCCCATCTGAGTTCCAAAACGAGTTGCTTTACAACAATCTCGTACTTGCATGCTTGGAAAAAGGCTTGATAAGGCTTTCATTGGCATACATGAAAAAAATGAGAGAGTTTGGCCATCCCATATCATACTTGGTTTTCAACCGCCTGCTTATACTTCATTCGCACCCCAGTCGGAAGAAAGCTATTATGAAGATTTTAACACAGATGAAAGCTGATAAAGTGGTTCCGCATGTGTCTACTTATAATATTCTGATGAAGATAGAAGCTAATGAACACAATATTGAGGGTTTGGCAAAGGTACTTGGTGATATGAAGCGAGCAATGGTTGAGCCGAACGAGATATCTTACTGCATTTTGGCCACTGCGCATGCTGTAGCTAGGTTGTACACTGTATGCGAGTCCTATGTTGAAGCTATTGAGAAGTCTATATCAGGACACAACTGGTCAACATTCGATATTCTGGTAATATTGTATGGATATTTAGGGAAACATAAGGAGCTGGCAAGAGCATGGGGCACAATTCAAGAGCTTCCGCATGTTAGGTCGAAGAGTTTTGTGCTTGCAATCGAAGCATTTGGTAAGATTGGAGATCTGACTCGAGCTGAAGAGCTATGGATTAAAATGAAATCGGAGAAGGGGTTGAAATCAACTGAACAGTATAATTCAATGATATCTGTGTACTGCAGACATGGCCTAATTTCTAAAGCCACTGGATTATATAAAGAAATGGCGGGTAGTGGTTGCAAACCAAATGCTATAACATTCCGACATCTTGCTCTTGGATGCATGAAAGCAGGACTAAAAAATGAAGCTATTAAAACTCTGGAATTAGGGATGGATTTCTCAACAAGCTTAAGTGTCAGACGGTCAACTCCATGGCTAGAGACTACACTTTCAATAGTCGAAATTTTTGCAGACAACGGTGACGTAGAAAACGCTGAAAAATTGTTTGAAGAATTGAAGAAAGCAAATTATACAAGGTATACTTTTGTCTACAATGCATTGTTTAAGGCATATGTTAAGGCCAAGGTTTATGAACCAAATCTTCTTAAAAGGATGATCCTTGGAGGGGCTAGGCCAGATTCTGAGACCTATAGCCTAATGAAGCTCATTGAGCAATTTCGTTCATGATGAACGCATTATCTTCACTTGCTCGATACAAAATGAGAAAGACGTGCTAGTTGGGGCAAGTTTTAACATTTTCTTGTTCTCGTTGATACTAATTATGGAGAGATTATGTTCTTTGGAGTTCTTTCTTCGAATACCACATGAGCTTGATTCACTCAATTGTGTCGAGAATAATACAGCAAGTTAGCGGCACCACCCCGCTATATGAGCTTCATTCATTCAATTATGTTGAAAATAATACATTGAGTCAAGGGAAACGCCAAACTGTGAAAGTTTTGTATCATATTATCATTCATATTGTACACGCTTCATGCTTTTCTTGTTTTTATATTTCAGAATTTTGAAAAAATACACATGCAAAGGAGTTTACATACCCCCACAAGTTGCAATTTGTGTGATTTTAGCTCCTATGGAGTTTTTTTTTTTTTTTGTATTATTTTAGCTAAATATTATGTTCAATATTATTTGTCGTAACTTGTAACGACGACACAAGCTTTATAGATACCAATTTAAAGGTATAAAGTGAATACTATAAAATTAAGTGTGTCAAACTCTAGTTTAACGAACAGCGAATATTTCAAAAAAAAATTATCATTCCAAAATATTAAAATAATGTAAAGCTCAACACCCCGTTACTTACCCAACTAAACTAGACAAGTAATTTTAATTAAGGTTTTATAATTAGTGGTAAGAAAATGAAATAACAGAAAATATTGGGTAAGAAATACGAATGTCCAAACAAAGACGGCGCGGAACTCGTTGAACCTAAACCCTAGATGCCCGAAATTTGAACAACTATAAGAACTCTTGCCTCTTCCAGGAGAAGGGTCTCAAGTGTCTTCCCCCACCATTCACCACCGCCAAATCAGCCGCCGGTATGTATATTTGACTGCTACCAATATTTATCCTTTCCTTTTTTGGCTTATTTTTGACAGCTTCTTGTTAATAGGTTGCATAATTCTTTTAATATTATGCAAATTTGTACATGAAGCAATATTGAATATTCTCCTCAATACCATTGCATTTTTCTATCTACGGTGCATTGGACGTTAAGGGAATAACATCTTTTTGGAGTATATTCATTGCAATTTACACTACACAAACTTAAGAGTTTTTTTCCTCTTTACTCCTTTACCTTTTGATTTTTATCCCGTGAATAATCCTCCTACGTGTTTATAAACAGTTCAATAATAAATAGATATAAATGAGCGATCAATATGTGAATAATATTTGTGAATCCTTTAAAATGTGTGCAAAAGAAGAACAAATTGTAAAACAAATCGGGAAGATATTCTTACACAAACAAAATGGGGGTAAACCATAACATTTCAAAGTAGCTGAAGCCACCCACTTTTCCTTCAGGCAAAAGGAGTCATTTTGCTTTCTCAAGAGAGGGCAAAATAAAGAAACAGAAAAACAATATCATAGAAAAGTTTCTCACTCTCGCCAAACACCATTGACAATCACTGGCCCGGTCTTCTGGTTCCTGTAAACGAATGATTTCATTACTCACCACTACATTGCTGTGAAATAATACGACTCAATAAGTAAAAAGGATGAGATCTTTATTAGGCTAGAAATTTAAGAATCAATCATTAGTATGAAAATGCAAATAATATAAGACAAGTGTCCCAAGCAGCAACTTGGAACTGATTACATCTCTATTATAAGCACCATTTTAGATTTCAAATCCTAATAAAGCAAAGTGAAACTAAGCAAATAAACTTCCTAAGCATTCCATATGATAGATGGTTGAGGATTACACAGCCAAGTAGGGCAAAGGTCCAGCACATTTGCCATACTTTGGAAATCACAGGCTGTCCAATAAGAATGGCATCCAAAATGAATAAATCGTCAAAAGATCAACAGGAATAGTATCAGAAATTATACAAGGATCAAACTTTAAACATGTTGTCTTCATTTTTATCCCATTCGTTTCACAAAAGCAAACCACAGAGCCAAATTAAAACAAAAACAAATACAAATACAAAAAATAACCAATACTTCTGATCCCTAAAACAGGTTTAATAACTAATTCCGCGATGATCAAATATGTAAAAGTTAGTTAATCTCAGATAAATGTGTTCTTACATCCACTAGATGATAGTAATTAAACAAATTCACTAGGTGTACTCAATGAATAACAACAAGAACAACGTTAAAAGACTCAACCCAATTGCATAAACAAACATAGATACCAAGCCAATATTTTTCCATCAGAAATCTCATCGAGAGGATTTAAGGTTCTACTACAGCATGATCTTGTGTAAGCATACAACAATCACCTAGTCCTCTTCATGGCGATGTTTCCTGCCCTTCTTCTCAGACCGCCTCTTGTCCCTGCCCACTCGAGTATCATCCGAGCCACTGACATCAGAATAGGACAACGAGGAGGCCCTTCTGCTCCGCCGCTTATGCCGCTTCTCAGCAGAATCATCAGATAAATCATCATCTGAATGCCTGTGACTCCTCCTCCTCCTCTTCTCCTTCCTGCTCTTCCTCCTTTGACTACGTTCTTCCTCGTTGTCTGATGACTCATCATTCTTTCTTCTTCTCTTCTCCTTCCTCAGTTTCCTTCGTCCTTGATCCTCCTCCTCAGAATCACTACAGCCCCTCTTCCCAATCTTCCTGTTCTTTGACCTCCCCCTCTTCCTCCAGGACCCAGAATCCAGCTCCGACCCATCAGAGTCATCATCATTCTTCTTCCTTCTACTTTTACTAGCTTTCGACTTGCTACCATTAACCCTTCTCCCATATTTTTCTGCGATTGCTCTCTCAATCTCTGAATCATATTCTGAATCCGAACTCTCACTCTCCTCATCTTCATCCTCAGTACTCTCTTGACTCTTGGCTACACTCTTCCCCTTCAACTTCTCCAAGCCAGACAAAACTGCAGCCTGGATTGCATCCGGGTTCTTACCCTCCTTATCACCATCATCCTTGGCACTCAAGAAATTCCTACACTGAAACGTCAAGTGCCCAACCCGGCCACACTTCTTGCACGAGCCACGGACTTCATCGGCATTGGACCCCGTAATACGAGCAAGAGCCAGAAGGCCCTGAAAGCTGGCATAGGCATTTTCGGGATCAGGCTCTGAAGCGGCACTAGCACTGTTAATTGCCGCATCGTTCTTCTTGTCATCTTTATTGGGTGCATAGGGATCGTAACCAATCGCGCTCTGCCATATGCCGTGGGTCTGTAAGGCAGCGCTACTGTGCACCCGGTTGTTCGCTGGCATGCGAACCCTCCCAGCTGTGGCCGGCATGGTGAGAAATTACGGATATAGTCCTGCAGAAGATGAAAAAGCAGGGAAATTCAAGGTAACAAAACTAGGGTTCCAAATTGGTGGTCTACAATTAGGATTCTATAAATTTTACAATAATTACGAATTGAACAGTTAATTTAAACTAAATTAAACAATGAATGGATAGATTAACAAAAAAAAGGTAACGAATAGGAGGCTTACGCTGCAGCGATTTCAAGAACACGACGAGCGGACGAGAGAGAGATTTTTAGTTTTAGCTTTGCGTCTTTGAAGCTACAAAAGAATGAACAGTCTATCCAGCGGGTTCTTCTTATATATATGTCTTTTTTCCGAGTTAATTGTTTCAATGGTTACTAAACTTTACGAAGTGTCACGTTTCACTAACTGAACTTTAAGTTGCCTCCCATCACTCACTGAACTTAGTAAAGTCGCACTCCATCCATCACCGGGCTAATTCAGTCAAAACAGGTTGCCTATGTGCAGGGGCGGACGCAGATCT